TTGACAAGCTCTACAAAAGTCTCTTAAGTTAGAAAGATGATTAACTTAGTATAAAAAAAGTTTTAGATGCATGCACGACACATTCACACTATAGTAAATTTATATAGTAATCTGAGTCACTTTTTACTATGATCATTCTCTGGTTGACTGGTGAATCACCAATTAACTTATCTTTAATTTACTTATAGTATAGATTCATCGTATTATAATTAAAATATCACTTCTTAATATCCAAAATGTTGAATTCTCGTTTATAAGATTTATTCAATTCGGAAATAAATTCTTATTCATTTTTGTTCGAATTTGATCTTCTTCCTGTATAACATATCTTATATTAGTATTAGAGAGTTTAAATCTCTTATCGTTAAGTATTTTCTTAAATTCGAAAATAATTTCTTTTTAAATTACTTTCATCCTTGTAAAAGTCTGCATGAATATATCCTATACTATAAACTTCATTTAGATTATATAAATATCTTTAAGTAATCTTAATTTACTTTATAAGTAAAATAACGAAATTTTATTCTTAAAATTTATAATGACTTCTATTATTGATATATATATATATAATGCAATACTATTATGTATTTATTCGTTTCTGTGCTTTGAGTTAATTCATATATTTCAAGACTACTACATTATAATTGACATTTCATATGATTATCTAACTCTTTTAAACAATCATCAGAATTTTCCTTGGAGCTAGATAAAGTCTTGAACATAACAGTGTTAGATAGTTGTGTGATCATAATACTATATATATCACTATTAGTAGCAATTTTAATCATATGCTAACTTGTTTTTAATACATCGATTTTTCTTTCATAATTAAATATCACAATAAGGTGGTCTTTTTGTAGATATCTTAATAATAATAATACCCAAAACTATAAACATCTACTTCTATTATATATGATCGTTTCATGAATGCTTTTAGGGAAATATAAGGTAAAACATTATAGATACTATCTTCTATGTTAAAAATCTCTAGGAAAATATTCTAGTTTATGAGCTTTCTTTTCTGATATATTTCATAAGATTATTTATTCTTTAATCTATTTTCCATATAATTTAAATTCTCTTTATAAGTTCTTTTGTGAATTCTGTAATATCTTAAGTTCTACTATATATATATATGTGACTTGAATTCATTTAAAATTATTCTATTATCATCTAACTAAATACTAATCCAAAAATCTTTGAATGTCTATTCATTTTAGCTTTAAATTGAAATTCTTTAATATAATTATTGATATTCATACTTTATAATTAACTTCATCAGTATATAAATATATAGTTTATTAATAATAAAAGATAAGAATACAATTTAATTGTTCATAATGATCATTATGTTATCATATCGTATTGTCTACTATTAAAATAGTAATTTAGACTGATTCATATTCTTTTTTGCTCTTTTCTCTTTTTTTCAATTTTCCTTATTTAGAATAATATTTCTTTAATAATTTTTTATTTATAGGGTTTTGATAATTTTTCCATTAACAGATCGTAGTTTGTAAACTCCTTTTTCTAATACTTTGTGAACTACAAAAGGACCCTTCCATTTTGGATAAAGCTTATGACTTTTTGAATATTGTTGAGAAGCCTTGTATACTAATACTTGGTCTCCTCTCTTAAATTCTTCAATAGGTGGTAATTCCTGATCATGCCTTATTTTAGTACTTTCTTGTACTTTTTTTACTCTTTTAACTGCATCATTTCTTATTCCAGGTAATACTTCGATCAATTTGAAAATTCTTTGAAGGAATGTTCCTTCTAACAATTCTTCATTTTCATCAGTATGAATAGGAAATCGGGCTTCTCTTCTATATATCAAGAAAAATGGAGAAATTTTCATCGTGTTTTGCTTAGCAGTCCTATAAGCGAAAAGTACTGAAGGTATCATTGAGTCCCATTCTCGGACGTTTGTCATTAATTTAGAAATTGATTCACAAAGTATTTTGTTAAATCGTTCCACTAATCCATTCATTTGTGGATGGTAGGGCATTGAGTAATGGTAGGTAATGGTGAATTTCTTTAAAAATTCATCTATTAGATTATTGCGGAAATATGTACCTCGGTCAGATAAAAGATATTGTGGACATCCATGTCGACACACAATGTCTTCATAAATAAAGTCGGCTACTTCTTAGACATTGGCATTCTTGATTGCCCTTGCCTCAGGCTATTTGTTCATGTAATCTGTAGCGACTACAATATACCTATTACTTTTAGGAGTCACAGGTAATTTACCAACTATATCAATTCCAATTTTGTAGAATGGAGCTTTGACTGGAATTAGATGTAATGGGGTTTCGCTAAATTCTTCCTTCTTCTTTAGCATGCATCGCAGGTTCGAACGAATCATCAAATATCGGTGTACATCTGCAGCCAGTAATATTTATTTTGAATTTTGTTGAACATTATTTCTATTCCTAAGTGTTCTCCTAATAGATGAGTATGAATTAAAAATAAGATAGATTCAACTTCAAATTTTTGTATTACTCTCAACAAGTGATTAATTTGATGTTTATCTTTTTTGTATATTAAACCATTTTTCACAACAAAGAATTGGCTCTGGGCTTGGATACTTTGTTGTTCCTGTGGAGTTAATTTCTTTGGTAATGTGTATTCTATAAGATATGTTTTTAATAATTGGTATCATAATGATTCCATCTTTTAAATTTGCCAGGACACCGACTACCTGGACTAAATTACTTTTAATGTCAGATTTTGATAACAAAAAAAAAAATAAATAAAAGGAATGTAATTTCTTTGTACTTTCTTAATTAAATTTCTTCTTTTAAAACTTATTGAACTAATTAATTTTTCGTATTACACTATCCAAATTTCATGCAGTACTTATTTTGGTAGCTAACCCAGCCAGTACCAGGCTCGATATGCGAATTATAGGCTGAATAACACTTTCAATTTTCACGCATAAAGTGAATTACAGGCAGAGTACCTTCAATTTTCACACATAAAGCAAATTATAGGCAAAGTACTTTCAATTTTCACGCATAAAGCAAATTATAGGCAGAGTACCTTCAATTTTCACACATAAAGTGAATTATAGGCAGAGTACCTTCAATTTTCATGTATAAAGCGAATTATAGGCAGAGTACCTTCAATTTTCATATATAAAGCGAATTATAGGCAGAGTACCTTGTGTAATTTGTTTTAATTTCTGTTCAAAGTTTTTTTTTTTTTTTTTTTTTTTTTAGTATAATTTTTAATGTCAATTTAAGTTTCTTTAATTAATATTATCTTTTGCATTTTTCAATAGATCTTTATTTTCTTTCTGAAATTAAAACCTATCTTAATTGATAATTAAATCTTTACATTTTACTGCATAGGGTTGCGTTGGTAATAATAATTTTTGTTATAATTTCTTTCTTGATAATATATTATAAATTGCATTTCACTTTACTTCTTTTCTTTTCTTTTCTTAGATACATTCTTGATAACACGTCGACATTGGAATGTTTTCTGCCGGCCTGGTGTATAATGGAGTAATTGTAAGGCTGTAATCTTAGAATCCAATGGGCTCTTTTTCCTTTTGGTACTGAGATATGTAACCATTTAAGGGTAGCATGGTCTGTTATTAGTGTGAAATATTTAGTGTCTAAATAATAATGGAAATGTTCTACTGCCCAAACTACAGCTAGACATTCCACTTCTGGGGTAGAATAATTTCTTTCGGTTTTTGAAAGTCCTCGGCTTGCATATGCCACCACATATTCTTTGTGGTCTTTATCTTTTTGAGCTAATATAGCTCCTAAACCTACACCGGAAGCATCTGTATAAAGGTAAAATTCTTCTTTGAAATTTGGATATCTTAAAATTGGAGCCATTATAAGATGTCTTTTCAATGTTTCAAATACAATTTGCTAACTTTCCTCCTATTTATAGGATACGTTTTTTTCTAATAACTTATGAAGCAGTCTTGCTATTGTGGCGAAATTTTTTATGAAACGACAATAATAAGATGCTAGTCCTATAAATCTCCTAAGTTGTTTAAGATTTTCTGATATAGAAAATTTTTTAACCTTTTCTATTTTAGACTCATCTGGTCTTACCCCCTCCTTATTAATTACATAACTCAGGTAATTAATTTCAGATCTAAAAAATATGCATTTTTCTGGGTTCAATTTTAATTTTGCTTTTCTTAACTTACTAAAAATAATTTTTAAATGATTTAGGTGTTCTTCAAAAGAACTTGAATAAATATTAATATCGTCAATGTAAACAACAGCGAAATCTCCAATACAGTCTCCAAGTACTGTATCTATTAGCCGTTAGAAAGTTTTTAGAGCGTTACAAAGGCCGAACGGCATTACTTTGAATGCGTAAGTACCATATTTTGTTATAAATATAGTTTTTTCTATATCTTCTTCATTTACTCCAACCTGTCAATATCTACTTATTAGATCCAACGTGGAGAACCATTGTGCTTTGCCGAAAGTATCGAGAAGATCGGTGTTATGTGGAAGCAGATATGTATTCTTTTTAGTTACTGCATTTAGTTTTCTGTAATCTATACAGAATCGCAGTTTTTCATTTTTCTTTGGCACGATAACTACCAGAGAAGCCCAAGGACTATTTATTTCAAATATTAATCCTTGTTCTTTTAATTTTTTTTATTTCTTTTTGTATAAATTTGTTTTCTTCATAGGCAGCTCTATAGTAAGTTTGTTTAATCAGAGTAGCATCACCTGTATTAATGCTATGTGTGATAGTATTTGTACGGCCTAAATTTTCTATACTTTGAGCGAATAATGTTGCTTTAGTAAGTAGAAATTCTTTGCCTTTTATTTGTTGTTCTGAGGTTAATTCTTCATTATTAACCATTTCTTCAATTATTTCTTTTATAGTTTTCTTTTTATCTTTCTCTTTCTCTTCTTTTTTAGTAGGCACTTCCTCTATATTAGTGAGATATAGTGTAGGATTTTCTTCAATTAAAAGTCAACCTTTATCTTGTTCTAATTCGTTGAATTCTTCTTCTTCATAGTCAAATTCGTCAAATGTGTTTTCACTATCGCTCTGAACTTCTTCATCTTCATATGAATTAAGGCCTTCAGTGTCTTTATTAGAAATTAATACCTCTGCTGATCTATCAGCATATTGTAAATATAGTTTCTGCTCATCAAAATATATACGAGCTTTAGTTTTCTGGAACCAGTCTGTTCCTAATAGCAAGGTTTCATCTGAGGATTCGATTACATGTAGAGTAGTAGGTACTATAACCTCTTGAATGATTATTCTAACATCCTTAATTTTTCCAAGTGTTTTGGCCTTGGCTCCAGTTGCTATTATTACTATAGTAATGGATTGCTTGTCGATTTTTAATCTAAGTTTCTTTAAGAGTCGATTTGATATGATGCTTATGGTGGCTTCTGAATCCAATATAGCCAATATTGGATTATTACAAATTCTAACATAATATCGGGCAGCAGTTGTATGGTATTCCTTATAAAATTTGTTTCTTTTGTCATTGTTGGTCATTTTAATATTTTGGCTAGATTTCTTCTTTGATTTGGATATTGCAAGATTTGACCTACAGTAGCAGTAGTAGGTAATGATAAAATATCATCTGCTACATTGTAAGGTTGTAAAGTGTCGATTTTTGATTGTCCTTTTTTTCTTTTAGTTTTATTTAAGGCAAGTGATCTTGAAGAGGTTTTTCTAATTCAATATTTTGTTCTTTTTCTTTTCTTTTGGGAGAATTCTAACTGTTTTGCGCAGTCTTTCTTCTCAATTCGGCTTTGCTAGACATTTTGTTGTTTGTTTATTAGTATGTTCATTAACTACATAAACTTCTTCTTTATGATTGTTTTCTATTTCACAAAAACTAATAGTTTTTGTTTTATTATTGTCTTTTTCTTTTCTTTGATTAAGGTACAGATATTTGGATTTTTCTGACATACAATTTCTAGCCAGGTAACCAAGTTTTTACATTTATTGCATTCTTTTTCTCTCCTTCTTTCCCAGGTATAACTATTTTGAAATTGTCTTCTGCTATACGAATTATCACGTGGCTGATGAACTCTTGTATCCTTTAATTGAGCAGACAAAGTCGCATAATTTAATGCTAGGCCTTTAATACTTTTCTTTAATTCGCTTAATTTATTTCTTTTTTCTTGCTATATATTTTCTAGTTTAGAAGGTCGTCGGCTATAATTTTCTCCAGCTTCGATTCTTTTTGCTGTGGCGATTGCTTCGTTTAAATTCTTTGGTGCGGCTATGAATACTAAATAGCATTATTGCCTTTCAATCCATTCAAAAACATTCCAACTATGAACCAATCTGTAAAACCATTGTCAACATTGATTCTATTAAGCAATTTTGTAAATTTAGTGGCATAGATATCCACTTTCTCTGTATTCTTTTGTCGCAACTCATACAATTCCATTTGCTATCTATATTGACGTTCTTTGAGAGCAAATTGTTCTACAAACAGATAGTAGAAACTTTTGCTTCGATCTGTTTCATTATCCTCTTTTACCTTCCAGTACTCAATACTTTCTTTAACTCTTTTATACTATACAGCCGCCATTTCTTTTAGATATCCGAACATGATCTTTACTATATGGTCTTCGGTCTAATTATTAGCTTCAGCGGCTCTGTCAAAGTCATCAAACCATTCAAACAGATCTTCATTATCAGTACCATAAAAGTACTTAATCTTTACATAATTACTTTCTTTTGATGAAGTTTTGTTTTCTTCCTTTTTTGTTAAAGCTTCCATAAACTGTTCTTCATTCATACTTTAATAGGTTTAAAACGTGAATATTTATGAAGTTTGGAATCTCACAGTCACCACCAAATGTTATGGGGTGAATCGTATCCTTTGATATGAAAAATACAAAAATGTATAATTCTAGATGATAAGGTAACTCACCAGAGGCGTGATGATGGTGATTTAGCAATAGTTTAGTTTTTTAAAAATGATATTATCAAAGTGATTTATTAAATGTTATAGGTGAATGATATTAGAATCCTGTAAGATCTACTTTTACAAGAGAGAAATTACAGGGTTTATATAACTTTCACTATCTTTATGATCTCAAGAGGTTTTGGGATAAATTAGATAAATCAGATCTTTTATCACAAAAGATCAAGGGAGAATCATTATAACTAAAGGGGCTTATAAAGATAAGTACAACATGATTATAATAATGAAGGCTTTGCCTTTACAACATTTCTATTTTAACTATTTCTAATTATTTTTTAATTCTTGTTTTCTTCTCTTTAGATCTTCACTTGTTCTTCTTGGAATTCTTCTTCGGATTTTACATAGGTTATCTTTCCGATATTTAGCCAGTAAGCCTCATGCACTAGTCGATCTGGAATTCCGATGATCGATTTGCTTGAAGTCATGAGTTTGCTGCGTCGATTTCATTGATCTTCCTTTTAGCCCGTGACATTATGAGATTTTGCAGACACACATGTCCTAATAAACTAAATACATATCACTCTGTTCTTGGTATATTTTGTAAGTCTGTAAAATAATTTTTTTTTAGAAATTTAATTCAAACTATTCAAACAGTTTGCAAACTTTGAGTCAAATTTCAAATCAAATCAAATTTAGCTAAAAATTTGTCTTCAAATCAAACTTAAACACTTTTTTAAAAATAGTTTGAGTTTGATTTGATTTGATTATAGGAACCCTATTTCAGCTTTTCCCATGTCTGCAGTTTTCTTAAACTGTTCGAAAGTTTAAATCAATTTATGTGAAGTTGATTCATTCCCGTTCTCTGAAGCAACAATCAAGTTAATGATATAAAACCATAAAATGAAATTTAACATGAGTTAAACAAAAGAATTATTGCATAGTATAAGCATCTTTGTTCATAATACTTAGCTTGATCATAGGTTTTTGTTCGAATGTATTTCAAGAAAAAAAAAGAGCATGCTTAAGAAAGTTCTATATATCGAGTCTCATTTACCTTTTTTAAAAAGGTATAGAGATCATAACAGATTATAAACCTATATGATCTTAACTTTCTTTTCATATATCGTTTAGGTATTGCGAACTCTCCTGAACTTTAAGCAAAAAAAGGTTATCGAGGACCAATCAAAGCCCGGTAGATCGTTCTAGAAATGTTCTAGAATCGATTTCAGTTTTTGGTAATATCCCTGACTGTATTTAAAGCAAACATGCTGTCGTGGCGGATGCTGATTCACAAGGTACTTTGTCTTTTTCTTTTTAGAATTCGTCCACTTCGCTTATCCACTGAGATGGTGTATCGTTAGGTGCTTCCTTATGTGCCCCTACCACGCACATAAGAGTCGTAACCATCCATAACTTAGTTACATTATGTGTTGTTACGTCCTTTTATCAGCAAAAGGTTCCTTATATACTTAATATTCGATCTAGATTAATTACATCATAATTAATCACACGATAGTTAACTTACTTCAATTACATAATTAATCAATCCGATACTTATCTTTCACTTCAATCACATATTTATTATGCACCCTGATCGATTTTTTGATTGATCGGTTAAACGCATTAAACTATCGATTAATAAACCCGAATAATATCGTACGTATGATAATACATAGATCCTGTTGCATAATTCCAGGATCAATTTTCTACCGTAGAACCGCTTGTGGCCGTGACACATGCTCACTTAATAATTCTCAATACAAAGATATCGAAAGATGTATGGGTGGTCTCACCACACTGCATCAAAAAAATTGCATGGTTACGACAAGGATATTGAAATTGATGCACGGGACTGGAGTGTGAATGAAGTATTAGCATTAGGTGTTCTTCGTTATTATAATATTTCGCACTCTTATTATGATGACCAGGGGGAATTAGCTGAATACCCTTAGAATAGTTCCGATAATGAGATCTTTTCATAATATTAGAAAATTTTTTATGATTTCTTTTTAAAGCATATGCTATTGTTACGGGGTGAATTGTATCCTTTACTATGGAAAATACGAAAATAGATAGTTTTAGGTGATTAGGCAACTCGCCAGAGGCGTGACGATGGTGATTTAGCAATAGTTTAGTTTTAAAATGATATTATCAAGGTGATTTATTCAATGTTATATGTTAGGAATATCATAATCCCGTAGGATAAGATCTCCTTTACAAGAGGGAAAATACAGAGTTTTTATAACTTTCACTAATCTAACGATCTCAAGAGGCTTTGGGATAAATTATATAAATTAGATCTTTCATCACGAAAGATCAAGTAAAGATCACTATAACTAAAGGGGCTTACAACGATAAGTACAACATGATAATTATAATGAAGGCTTTGCCTTTACAACATATTCTATAAAACTATTTCTAATTATTTCTTGATTCTTATTTTCTTCTCTTTAGATCTTCATTTGTTCTTCTTGGAATTCTTCTTCGGATTTCGCGTTGGTTATCATTTCCAATATTTGGTCAGTAAGCCTCATGTACTAGTCGATCTGGAATTCCGATGGTCGATCTATCTAAAGTCATGAGTTTGCTGCGCCGATTCGTCGATCTACCTTTTAGCCTGTGACACTATATAAGAATAAGATTTGCTTTTAGATTCCATACGATATTTGTGAGGATTATTCGGTGGTAGAGAAAATTCGTATCGAAGCACTATTAATAAATGCTGTCGGGGATGATGCTGAAATCGGATGATGCTGAAATTTTGACTTATTTTATTATGAAATTTTAAAAAATTTTTGGGCCTTTTCGTTAGGGGTTTTTTTTAGAGTTAGGTTAGGGTTTGAGGTAGTGTTGTTAGTAAAAAAGTATATGTGAATTTTAGTAGGTATTATAGATTTAAATGGGACCCTAAATTTCAGCATCAGCCAATTTCAGCATCATCCCCGACATTATTTAACTATGTCTTCCTAAGCATTGAAATAATCACGCGTTGTTGCACGAGAGAAAAGGGTTGACCCATACTTGAAAATATAAATATTTTTTATTTATATATTCAAAAGAGAAACTAAATTAGGAGTAAATCTTATCAACTTCTGGGTCCAGTAGTATAAGGAATCCAAGAAAAAATTTATTTATTCTCTTTTTCTTCCAAAAATCTTTCAGGATAGTATTGATCTGCATTTTCCATAAGTCCGGACTATGATGGAGTTAATAGCAAGGCTTTGTCCTTTTGGTAACGTGTACAGACCGTATTTAAGTTCTTTAGTTGCTATACACGGAGATATCATTGTTAACGTTGGATACAAACGAAAAGTTTCTTTGATAATTGCAGTGATGTATTTAAGTTCCCGTGATTTGAGAAACGATATTATAAATTATTTAATAAATAGAGAATATCAATATATGCGAAATATGTACTTTGAGTTGCTTAAAGTCAGGGATTACTATATCATTCCCCAAAACACGAATTGCTTAATTTCGTGCTTTTTTTTTGTATTCCTGAAAAGATAAATATTGTATAAAAAAGTTTATGCAATATAGTAACGAATGTACCGTAAATCGCCGTATACAAGATCCGGGCCTCTTACATTCCGCCAATTTTAAAACCTATAATAGATAGTATGCAACCGGGAGTCCATGTCATTAAGAGGAAAACTTTGAAGGTTTTGCATTTATAATAGGCAATCCAGATATTTGAAAAAAACCATGTTTGATTAACATGGATACCATGATTCGCATCCGGGTATACTACGTGGTGGGTCTACTATCATGGGGGTCTTGTATACGGCGATTTACGGTAATAGTGAAATAATACAGGATATTTTGCTGAAAACTAAAAAGAATAACATAGAGCGGATGAAGAATCTATACAACAATAAATAATTTTTAATATTAAAGCGGGGTAATAAATGAAATTAAGAAATAAGAGATCCTTACATCATGTGCAGCTAAAAGAACACTTTGTCTGAATATCATGACCTCCAATCTCGGCAACTTCAATCATTCCAGCTAGTAAATTTTCAAGTTTAATTCCAAATCAGTTCATCGTTTTTCTATAATACCATAAAGGAATCGATCGAATTCTTTAACTCGCATTTCATGATCAACATTTATTTTGAGAGCCACGGTAATAGGACGAAAAACGGATTGATAAGTGTCAAGGAATACGGATTGTTCTAAACACTATAAAAAATATACAAATAAGAGGTGTACTGTATATTTAAATTTGAATCTTATTTATAGATACGTACGTACGAAAATAAATGAAATATATGTATACTTGTAAACCATGATTAAAAACCAGTTTGCCTAATATTTGTAAAATTAAACGCTGAATAAGGTTAAATATATTTTGTACACTGATCGAAAATTCAAGAGTATACACTCCGGTTGGAGCGCTTTATTAAATACAGTTGTTGCGATTTTTCGATGTTTTACCCAAAGCTATTTTATAAATTATACATGTTTTTTTTGCAAAGGTAAATCGTTACGTTTATATCGATAAGACTAAGTGATCAAATGATATTAAATTCTTGTTCAAGTTTCCTATATTTGGAAATTTGAAGTATATTTCGAAGATGTGGTATGTATCTGTCTTTTTGGTCACGCTCCGGTCGAGCAGCATCCCATTGAAAAGCTTTACATTTTACTTCATGATCGAAGCTTGGGTTGATAGCCTCAAGTTTAAGACCAGTGGCTACTTCACCGTTAGGCAATGCGATTTTATTTCCAAAGTATATCTTTATCGATGACCTTCTTTATAAGACCACATCGGCTATTTGCTTAATATTCACATATTAATTGGTATTTACGAAGACAGGTATTTTGACAACTAACCAGACTCTAAAAAAAAAAATTTTTTTTGCATATTCAGTATTTGATACGTAAACAGCCCAATTGATAAAGTTCCAAATCTATATTTATACGATTGATAATACAAACATTATCTGATTAAATTGTTGAAACGTTTCTCAATTTTGTCATGGTAAAATTTTTTATATGATACCTTAACAATTCCTAATTTACGTGAATCCGCTTCGAGCATAATGTGTTGTACTTCATCTTGTCCTTTACCAGATATCATAGCCCAAAAATATTTTAAAAAGGGAACTGTTGGTATGTTCTGTAATTCTCTAGGTGGTTCAGTGATCTTTTGAATCAGAGCTGTAACTAGTCACAATACAAATTTTAAATAGTTACAGGTAAGTTAAAATAAAGACGAAAAAGTCATAAGTAAAACTTTTAACTACGGTTTCTTACTATTTATTCTAATACAAAACAGAAAAATAAATAATGTCATTTGCGTAATAGTTATTTTTTGGAAAAAAGAAATTCATTTCTTCAATGGCAATTTAAATAAGATTTTTTTTTCAAAAAAAAAAAAAATGTTAACGTTACAACCTTAAAAATTAATCACGTAATAAAAAAATCACGTTGGTACTTATAATTCGCGTAACAAAAGTCTAAAATTTAAAAAGTGTCATTCGCATAAGAACAGTTTAAAAATCGGTTACTCAGTGATCATTGAACTTTTTTTAAAAGAAAACATTGTTAATGAATATTTAAAAAAGTCAATTGCGTAGAAATCCACCTAAAAACATGATTCGTGTGACCCGGCGGGTGGACCCACGGGTATCTGGGTACCGAATATCTACTGTAAGCTTATTATAAAAGAATTTCAACAGAATTGATAGCCTTGTTTTGTAAAGTTGCTACTATAGCATAATCAATTTAAATGAACAAAATATATAGCTTAATTTTTGAAATATATACCTTTAATTGCATTTGAGATTTCCCGAGTTTCTATTATTTTGCTAGATCTGGATGTTTTGGTGAGATAATTGGCAATGCTTTGGTTACTTTATCAGTATCTGGGAATTGTTTTTAATTTCATTTGCATCTTCTGGATCTTTCATGGCGTTATTCCATTTAATTTTATTGCAGCATCTGAATCCTTCATAATTTTATTCATCTGCAAAGTTTATTTCAAATTTTAAAAGAAGTAGGTCGTTTTTATGGAACTGAATTCATGCATTGTTTAGCTAGTTCAGTATAGCAATCTGGAATCCTAAGAACAGATTCGGATTACAATCCTCTGAATATATCTAATGAAAGACAAAGACCAAATAGACGACCATCAGAAACTTTGTCTAATTAAATTCCGACATAATGATTCCGAAGTCATAAGCGTCGGCAGCTGATATAAATTCTGTCTCAATAGAATCTCTGGAATGACATAAGGCGAGGCACAATAAATTTCGCTTTATGAACCATTTTTCATCTATCTTTTTAGGCGATTCTAGATTTGAGATGATAGATCGCAGACTTTTGCTAATGTCTTACAAATGTTCCACTGTGAGAGTCCACATGAATATATCCTGCTTTATGAATTTTATCTAAATTTTCTGAATATCTTCTAGTAGTTTTAATTTAATTTGTCGGGTAATAAACCGTACAATGATTTAACTTTTCAAAAAATCATTCCTTGAACCAGATAAGGTCCTGAGTGCGATCTTACATGTCTATCACTATCAGCACATTTCTATCTTTCGTATATCTTTTTTTTTTTTTAATGTTATTTAGTCAATCAAATGGAATTCATTCAATCAATTATAGCAGAGGTTTTTTTCGATTTTTAACAGCCGTCCTACCTCGTTTTAGTGCGCCGGGGGTGCATCGAGTGTAGCCCGGATTTGCATGAGGAGTGCATTCTCCTGCTTTACGAACACAAAGTAAAATTTCTAATTATGTTCTATAATTAGAATTTTATTTTGCATTCGCAACCAGGGCATAAAATACCTATTGATTTACCGGCCACTCCAAAAGTATCATTTTTGATTCGCGATATACTAAGCTCGATTGGTGTATCAAAAACGATACTTTAAACAATGGGCATCGGCGCAGTAAATGGCCGGTAAATCAATAGGTATTTTATGCCCTGTTCGCAACGCAAAAAGATACTCTCCTCATGCAAATCGGGTTACACTCGAAGCGCCCCGAAGCACTAAACAAGGTAGGGCAGCTGAAAAAGATCTCTGCTCATAATTATTAATTTTAAGTTGAAACACTGTTGAAACCCTTTAATGCAATTATCGATGTCTTTATTTCCACTTGTCCATTCTCGATCAAAGTCACCATGTCTTAATAAGAAATAGTGCATGAACCACCGCTGTTATAACCATTACATACATAAGTGAAGTTTTGGGTCAACTGGGTCACCCAAAATATTTGAAATGGCCCGGTTTGTGGTCCGGTAATGATTCTTTTAAACTGGTACGTAGGTAACCCGGTGCTCAAAATCACATAAATCGGGTCGATCTACCCGGGTTGAAACACTAACAATCGCATAAAGTATAACGAATGTTTACTGTTACGGGGTGAATCGTATGTTTAATAGGTTTATACACGAAACGTATATAATTTAAATAATATAAGGCATTTGCCAGAGGCGTGAAGTTGGTGATTTGGTATTTATTTGTTAAAAGACTTAATCAAAGGAATTTATTCAATGTATTATATTAAGAATATCGGAATCCCGTAGGATATGATTTTACAAGAGAGAAATTACAGTGTTTTTATAGCTTTGACTATACTAACGAATTCAAGAGGCTTAGGGATAAATTACATATTTCATCATGAAAGAATCAAGGGAAATCACTATAATTAAGGGGCTTACAATGATTAATACAACATATTATAATAAAAGATAAGGCTTTGCTTCGCTTCTTTTAATACTGTATTTCATATGCGTGCTTGTTCTTCGGTTCTCGCGTTCGGTTGTTTATCTTCTTCGGCCGATAAGCCTCAACCAGCCAGTATTTGTTGGCATAATTACTTCCTTAATCACGGGTTTACTGCACCAATTTCGAAGATAAACCTTTTAGCCCGTGACATTACCAATAACAAACTTAAAGACGTCATTCGTGTAATGAACTTAAAAAACACTACACTCATAACAAACTTAAACGCCATTCGCATTGCCTGATGCATGACGATAGTCAGTATAAGGTTATTATCACGAGGATCATTATGTTTTAGTCTATAAGAACACAATGAAGAAATCATTGTTGTAAGAGTATGTTACTATTTAAGGTTAAAGGGATATCATAGCATAGTTGTGGAAACATTAGGGTACTGACATTAATTACATAATTTCCATTTACTGCGTACTTTCACATCACTCGGGTTAGTGTAATTCCACAAGAAACACTTTTAACTAGTAAGAACCTATCATAGTCTCAATTGAAAATTCAATTTTTTATGTTGGGTTTGCCACAAAATCCCGAAAGACAGATTCCCGAAAGGCGACGAAGTTAGCCTGCATTAGTTATAACTAGCCAATTTAGTCGGTATTATGTTGTTTCGGGATTTTGTGATATATAGAACGAAATTTAGTCGGGTGTTTTACAATGTTAACGTTCATTACGCGAACTTTTTACAGCATTAGCAACAATGCTTAAAAAATGTCTGCTACACGAATGATATTTTTTAACATCTATTACACGAGTAATGTTTTTGATGATTTTTTAAATGTTTATTATGTGAACGACTTTTTAAAAACTTTGTTACATTAAATGAATAAACGTTATATTATTCAAAATGTATATTACTTTGAAGAACATTTGTTACGCAAACGATGTTTTTTTAAAAAAAATGCCACTATTATTGTGAGTCTTTAGCTTATATTATTTACTACTATTTAGCTAACTCATAATTTAATTTTTTTTTTTTGTAGCTCTTAATTCTTTTAATACTTATAGTATAGTTATATTTTAATTCAAAATATCGCCTTTTGTCTATTAAATATAATTTTATCATCAAAAATCAAGAGTACTTTATATAAAAAGTACTTTAAACCCCGTATTTTATAGTAATTTTTATATCATGATTAACTTATAAGCTTTAATTTAAAAGTTTTTTAGCTTCCTGCTTTTTGATTCAAACTAAAACGTTAGCTAAGTTTCTATTTACACAAAAATAAAATTAATTTAACTTATAAAAAAAATACATAATTTGGATTACTATTTGAAAATATAAACTTTATTAAATCTCCAAAACTAACCCTAAATCCTAAATCCTAATATATCTCAAAAACGAAAAATGCCAAAATTTAAGTAGAGATTGTGCCCGTAGAAAAGAATCACTAACCGAATGCTATTAAAATATCTGGGTTACCTGGTAAACTATTATATATTTCTGATAAAACTCTATCCTGGTATTAAAATCTCATAAGAATAGATCTAGATTTAACATCATTATATAATGACAAACACCGTAATAACTTAAAATACTGTATATATATGAAATAATAATCTAAATACAGAAATAAACTTAATCTAATGCTTACCGTCGCGTCGGGAGCCACAACAAAATCAAGATTATTACTTACATAATCTAAAATATATTAATGTAATTTTTTTTATAGTTAAGAAAAATATTACAGGCATAATATGTTCATATATATATACTTTTTATGAAAATGCAAATAAAATTATTGCCTGGATTTGTTGGGTTAGGAAGCTCTGGAAATTTTAAATGCTTGCTTGTATAAATATTACGTGTCTGATAATTGAGGTTCTACCGAAAGCCATTTTCCCGAAAGGACATAATACTGACTAAATTGGCCAGCATTATAGCTAATGCTGGCTAACTTTGTCGGTATTATGACTTTTTCGGGAAACTGTCTTTCGGGATCTCAGGTAGAACCGATAATTGAGCCGTACTGAATTAACTTGATAAGTCGGCAAATTTTTTGTTGAATTTTCAATTGCTTTAATTTGTTTATATAATTCAGTTTCCTCATCATTTAGATCTTTTAGATATTGTTTTAGCATATCTAACAGTTCTTTAGCAATTGGACGCTTTTGAGGTTCAGCATATCTAAGCATCTGTTCATTAAGTCCAAAAGTAGCTGAGGAACTTCGCATTTGATTTCAGGTCTACGGCCATTACAAATTTGAATTGCTAAATCTTGATCAAACGGAATGTCATGATATGGTGGAAATCTTTTGATTTTTGAATATAATTTTCTTCACACAACACCTCTGGAGCTACATAAGGGTGCACGCCAAAAATTCCTTTAGT